TTTGGATTTCCCGATCAATCGTTATTTGACCACTTATCTTGTCTTGTTTATTTATTTTTGATAATTACTTATGATCTTTATATCTGTATCACCGCTTATATCGTACGTCCAATGGAAGAACCTGCGCATGATGTCATAAGTCATGCGTATTGCATTTCCATATGCATCTTTTTTCCCCCGCTTGATCCTTGGCTTTTTTAAGTTGATCAACTTAGGAGTTATCCTCTTATACCTTAAGATATGGCAGATTCCCTTAAATCTTTCAACTTAGATAAACTTATAATGCAATTCAATCCTCTATTCTCCCCACAAGAGAATTAGACGTGATTCATCTACGTAGTTGAGATGTAAACCTCCTACCCCATAATAATCGTGAGATGTATAATCTTTTCCGCTTGAGAGAGGTACATGGCATATTCGTCGATAAAAATCCGAATTAGAGCCCTTCTCTCAATGCGATGCAAAGAGCGTCTTCGATACGCTTGTGGAGGTTAAGTCGAGTATTCTCCCTAAGATGATGACTCGTCTCTTATCTTAGCACCAATCAATAAACCTTCCCCCCCTAGAAATTTGACCATAGTCAATGGTTCCTCAATCCCTTTAGGGGAACTACGAATACTCTGATTCCACTCCCGTCAGGATACGTAGGCACAAGATGTGATTTCTTGGCGAGTATACTAAAAAACAAACCCCTAGGTCTTTCACCCTTAGCAAACAACAATAACACGATAAAACAAAAGGTTCCTGTAGAGTACTACATATACTTAGGATGCTAATACCTTCCCTAGGTATAACTAACCCCCGAACCTTAGACTCTCTAACTTTGCATCTGTATTGCATACTTATGGGTGATTCGATCTTTTTCCCTTCCCTTGGACAAATTAAAGACCGGTGGTGAAAAATGAATTAAGATTCAAGTTAATCCAATAATTTGATATCCAATTCTCACCGCGACACCTTCATTGTTTTCAGTATGTGATTCAATATATTTAAAGTAGATTTAAAGATTTAGAAGGTTTTTTAGTTTGCGGAAATTAGGTCTTCGTGGCTAAAATCTGTTGTTGAGGCTTCAACCCTGTAAAGTAAGTGATTTGAGAACCTTGATGATTGTGGTGTAGTTGTAAGGATTTTATGGGAATTAGAGGCGTAAAGATGTTACGAGATTGACCTAATAAGTCGTAGGTTTTATGCCTTTATAGTCGTAATACCTTAGGAATGATTTAAGGATGTTTTTAGGGCATTGGGGAAGGAAATCGTAGGGGTTTTTGGTCTGGTTTTGGTGCTGGTGCATAACAACGATTTGCTGTAATCGCAAGTTCACACAGCGAAGAATGCTCCGCACGGTGAACGTTCGCCCCAGACTCGCACAACGAACGTAGCAGAGTTTCGTGAATTCTAATCTTGTGCAGTGATGTCTTGATGTTTTGATGTTGTGATTTCTCCGATGAATTACCATGAGTATAATTGTGATTTTTATGAGATTAATACATGATTATATGATGATTCCCATGAGTAGTTGTGATGATTTATGATGTTGATTTCATGAGGCTTTGATGATTATATGATGACATGATTATTATGATGATTTTGATGAATGATGATGCGCCTAATGAGATTATTATGAGGATTATATTGACGTGTGCATCATGCATTCATATGCATTCTGGATTTCGGTTCAGGACCTTGATTCTTATGGCTTCAGTCCCATTGTGCGGATGTGAGGTATTTTATTGTGCTCTGATTCTCGTGTAGAATTTATCCTACTATTGTGGATCTATAGAGGGTTGATGGCCCAATGTCCATCAAATTTTGTTGATTGGTACCACATGCATGAGTCTTGTTGCATTTGCATTTATGTGACATTTTGGTGGAATTTATGATGTTGTGGCCTTTGATGTTCCTTGATGATTATGATGATGTTGAATATGAAAATGACGTCATTTTATATATTGATTCTTATATTGATTATTATGAATCGTTTTACTCACCCTGCGTATTTGAATGTTGCCTCTACGTGGGTAACATGCAGATGACCAGGTTTAGCCGTGGATGCCGTCGAGGACTTTTGAAGTTTTTGGATCGTCAGCCATTGTGGTTGACTTAGATGGTCTTGCTCCGATAGTGTAACATCGGGTTGGGGTATTTGAGTCAAACTATATTTTATTGAGTTTTTGTTATGTTGATTGCCTTGCGGCGCAAGGAAAACTTTAGATTTTGTCTTTTTGAGTTCCGCTGCCTTTTGAGCAATTTTTGAGTAATTTTGGGAAAATCCGTTGTTTACGGAGCATTGACTATATTTGAATTTTTGAGAAATGTGTGCCCGTTTGAGATGATTTTATTGCGTTCAATATTTTACTCTGATAAATATGATTGAATTTGCCTTTATATTTGTGGGGTAGAAAAGGGTGTTACACTCAACTTGGTTAGTTTTTGTATTTCCTAGGTGTTGAATCTCATTGCTCCAAGCACAGACAATCTTTCCACTATCTTTTCCTTTACTTGGTCCATAATTGTACTTTTAACATATTTCAACAAGTATTGATATTTCTCATAAGCCTTCATGAAATGTATAACAACATTGACATATAATTATTTTGTAGAAGAATTTATTAGAACATTCCATGCATCCATTATTCTTTCCACTATCACGATAGCTTTAACAATCTTTTCCTTTACTTGATCCATAATTGTACTTTTAACATATTTAAACAAGTATTGATATTTCTCATAAGCCTTCATGAAATGTATAACAACATTGACATATAATTATTTTGTAGAAGAATTTATTAGAACATTCCATGCATCCATTATTCTTTCCACTATCACGATAGCTTTAACAATCTTTTCCTTTACTTGGTCCATAATTGTATTTTTAACATATTTCAACAAGTATTGATATTTCTCATAAGCCTTCATGAAATGTATAACAACATTGACATATAATTATTTTGTAGAAGAATTTATTAGAACATTCCATGCATCCATTATTCTTTCCACTATCACGATAGCTTTAACAATTATTTCGTCTTCGACCTTAATTTGTTTGGTCCCTACTGCGGATTTAATCTGATTTCTCACATTCTTTGTGATGTGATACCTACAAAGTAATGTTTAAGAAGTAGCAAAGACTTTTGTAACCAAATTCATCAAAGTGGTATCGCGGTCGGTGACAATTACTTTTGGCGTGTCTTCTTTGTTCTTCAACATTGCCGGACACACTTCTAAAGGCCAAGTAACATTTTTCTCTTTTTCTCTTTCCAAAAATGCAAACCCAACATATTATGTCTTCTCAATAAAGGTAACACTAACAATCTCTAATAGTGAAACTCTGTATTTGTTGGCCTTATACATTGAATCAACGACGAGCATAGTAAGAAACATGTTAAACAACTTTATGAAATCAAGATTGTTTCAAAATGTATCTCGAACACTTACTTCATCCTCGTATGTTAGGTACCTAGATACATAATTTTCATCTTTCAAAAGTTTCAACAGTTGTTACATTTTAGTTCTATCCCCCTTCAACGCCATGTTGTTAAGGAAACAAATATTCTACACTTGAGATATTATCGCGTCTTTTACGTTTCAAAGTGGTAAGTATATTTTTGGGCTGTACCATATTCAATGTCATGTATGAAATAATTTCCTTCTCTTCTGGCATGAGGCGACATACAATTGAATTCAAGACTAACTTTTCACACATGTCATGGTTATGTAAGCCACATATCACATTAAATCTCTATTTGTTATTTGACAAAATATAACCACTCAACTTAAAGGGGCATCACATTTTCTTGAATCGGTGTCATCTATTCGTCATAAATGTAACTCTTCTATTTGAACCATTATCGGACCTTCTGATTGCAACATTAAACTCCAATTTTGATGCTTTCGTATAAATCCATTGAAACATATGATCACGAAATTCAAACTCTTGTTCATTTGTAAATTAGTTGCCAACATCTACTTCCTTCACATCAACACGTCGGACATCCGAAGACACAATAGGTTTGAAAAAAATAACGGGGTGCACCATATCTAATGCAAACAATAATATAAAATATTCAAAGACATATACAAAGACAATTTGAAAATGAAAACAGATATACTCCAAAAATGTACTTCCAAAAATGTACAGAATTCAAAACACATTTCCAAACTCAACATAACTTTTTCAATTACAAAACAAGATTAATGTGAGCAATAAAAAATAATATACACGATCTTTACCTTGAATTTCTTCTTCTTTTGCTCTATTTGGTGTGATGAAACACAAGATTGAAAGTTTTGAAGTGCAAATATTAATTAAGTATGAAAGGTTTTTTGCAAGGGTTTTGAAAAAAAATGATTATAGAATTTGATCATGCAAATTGTTGTTTTATTAAAAATCACGTTCGATATTTTCGGTAATGCACAATTGAAAACAACTGACATGCAAAAAGTGGTAGGTTTTCAAATTCCTACTTCACAATTGTGAAAATGTACTTCCAAAAAAATCATTAAATTGTTAAATTAGAAATCAATTACTGTGGTGAATTTGAAGATGTATTTTCAAAATAAATTTTAGAAATAATATGAAATAAGTGTTAATTAAGATATATTTTAATGAGACAATTAATGGTTTCAGAGATAAATTTTTATAAATCAAAAAGATATTTTCGGATTTTCATAAGTGAGATCAGTAATTCCAAAAAAATTGGACATAGTTATTAGACCCAACAGAATTAGAGAAAATGGGCTTTAGCGAAAAGGTACGAAGGTTGAACCACAAACCCTTTACCGTTTCCAACCTCAAACACACCGTATTCATAGGGAACCTTCCTTTACAAAATCACTCATCAACTTTCCCAGAAACAAAAAAAATTCCATTTTATTTCTTCTCCGACACACTTTCCACAAATTCATCATCATACGACTCTTTCAACCTTTCACAGTTTTCCTTTTTCTTTTAAATAGAAAGAAAATATAAATAAATCACGATGTTGCAGTGATCATAAACGATGGTCAGTTGTGAATCCGATATGGAACATTCGGATTCAGCGATTGCGTCGCCTCTTTCTGCCCTAACCGACGCTTTTGAAGAGCTCGTTGAAAAGGTTAAGGATTTCAAGAGCGGTACATCCGATCATATTCGATTAGATTATTTCTGCGAAATCGTTTCTCTTGTTACTGTTCTTTTCCGTTGTCTTGGCCTTGCTTTCAAATTCGCTGAAATGGAATATGTTTCTAAGGTATGTATATAAAATTAATTTAATGATTGAATGATTTTGATAAGTTATAAATTGATTAATTTTAATCAGAAAAATTGGCATAGAAATCACGTTCACATGGAATTGTTTATTATTCTTACTAAATTAAAGTAGATTAATATTTAATTACTATTATAATAATCAAGGTTTTGAATTTAGGTAAAGTTGTGATCCTAATATTGTGGAGAATAATGTTCAAATACATGTTTTTTCTTTTTTGAATGGCCATTTTGATTTAAAAGTTAGCCATGCAACAGACACCATGTGTAAAAAGTGTAAAATGTGGGTCTGTATCAGGTGTCTGAAATCGACGTCAACTTGTGATTACGATTAATTCATTCATTTTTAAATAATTATTGATGATGCCGTAGTCGTGTTACTGTCTTGTGTGTTACTGTCTGTGTGTTACTGTCTTTGTGTCTGGGTTGTGTTTCTGGTGTCCGAGTGTCCATGCTTCATAGGTAGTTAGTTGTTAGGTTAGAATATGTGATGCTAACTAATTATGTTGTTGGAGATATCAAAAGCGTAGTAATGGGGGCAGTATGATGTTTTCTTTGAATTTGAAAATTTTCAACTATTATTAGTTTATCATGTTTTTTCTGGGTTCTTGTTCTAATGATCATATGATGATCAGCTACATGGACTAGTGGAAGCATCAAAGAGGTATCAGATGCTACAAGATATAATTGACCATGATGTGGCAAATGACACGGTCAAAACATCGGGAAGCTATTCACGTAATCTACGCAGAGTTCGGCAGGGTATTGATCTCGTTAGAGCTATATTCGAACAACTTTTGACAACCAGGTATGGAATCTTGTTTATACTTGTATCTTGTCTTTTGCTGAATTATCTTTTTTTTTTTTTTTTTTAACTTTTCTGTCGAATATGGCTTCTTTAAGTTTCTGTGATAGTAGTTATTTACCATTTTCAGTGATATTTCTCTGAAAGAAGTGGCTTCAACAGCCTATGGAGAGGTTTGTGCGCCATATCACTCGTGGACAGTCAGAACGGCTGTGTATGCTGGGATGTATACACTTCCGACGCGAGACCAACTGTTTTTGAAGCTCAATGAAACAGGTAACTTGCATTGTTTTTGTTATGTTTAGTACATATCAAGTTATACATATAGCGTGTTTACATGGAGATAAATTGAAAAGCAGATTCCTTATATCCGTTGCTCTTAGATATCATTTCTGGTTGACTTATTCAAATTGGCTTTGCAATGTAAGAAGCACGCATTTAACCTTAATCCTAACTTGTGTGGCAACATAGTTGACAGTTAGTTTAAGATGTCATCCAAGTCCTAACATATGAAGAACCAGTTGATTACTATATATTTAGAGGAAGATTTAGAAAAACTATAAAAAATGTTATTAAGAAAGATCTCGAGATTAACAATTTGAATTGAAGCATGGTCCTGAATAGAATCGTGTGACAACTTTCTTTTGTTAAAAACACGGAGATTTTAGTCTTAAACAAATTGGACCCATTCACATTAGCATTAAGATATTATCTTCTTGTTTCAATCGTTCATCTTACATAGACCTAAGCTTTTATTGTAAATGTTATTGCAGAGAAAACAGCGGAAAAGAAGATGAGAAGGTACATTAGTGCTTCGCTACCGGTTATAGAATACATTGATAAACTATACCTTTCTCGAAATATTGTATTGGATTGGTGAGTTCGTGTAGCAGGCTGTGATGTGCTCCATTGGTATAGCAGTTTAATTAGCCAGTTTCTCTGCTGCTATTTGGAGAAAGGGAGACACCAGAAAAAAGAGGAAAAAGATTAGGATTTTACTAAAATGGTTAGCAGATTTAATGTTTTATTTTTGTATGTACATAATTTATTTAGAGGACAGTGATTTCTAATTCTCTTTATAGAGAAAATAATGAATCGTGGAAGGTTATTTAGTGCATTATTAGTGGAAATATCTTCAAGATCACAATTTTTTGCAATTTCATATATACCTTTGTAGTCCAAACTCACCCTCTAGTTTAGTGGGGAATTGTTTGGGTTGTGTTGGATGGAGAAGGGTTCTGCATGATGTCCAACTCCTTTAGGTCCAATTTTCACTTTTGGTTAGCCAAACTTATATGCACGGAAAATATGTTTAATTTTGCCCCCTTCAAATTGATTCAATTTATTTGTATTGCGAGTCAGGTTTGTAAAAAGCTGGCAGGGGATGGAGAGGTATGAATACCCCTGCCTCCGTGAATGAGATGGTATGAAAATATTTTTTTTTGGAGTTTGGAAGGGAAGAGAGTGGAAGACTTTTAAAAAAGGATAGGATTGAGCGGAAAGAAATAATTTTGGTTGAAAGAATTTTGAAAGGTTTGCTTTTATAATATAATTTTTTTTATTTATTTTTAAGGGTCAAAATTTGTGTTGGAGAAGGGTTTTTGGAGTTTACAGAAAATTTTCAAATATATTTATGTTATATTATTCTAAAAATTAAAAATATAATAATGATAATCATTTATTAAAAGATAAATTCATTCAAAAAATGTTCAAGATGTATTTTTTATTTTTTAATATTTAGAAATCTCCTTCCTAAAGTTTTCCATTTTCCCAAACATTCAACCAACCAAGAGTTTTTTCAAGTAAAATTGTTGCTCTTAATTTGGACTATGAGCTCCCCCTAAACGCCTCTTCTAATACAAAAGAAGATACAAAATAATTGAGAATTTTTTAATGTTTCTGCGAAATTATTTAAATATTTTTAGATATTGGAGATTCATCTTTGAACGCGTCTATTTTTAAATAAATATTAAATATTTTAGAGATGCATCTCATAAATTATTTTTAAACATTAATACAACTCATTCAAAAACTATTTACATTTGAATTGAACCGGAGATACATCTCCGTGAATATTCCAAAAATGTATCTTAAATATAGTATATAAGTTGTTTATATGTGTTTGGATGAAGTATAATGTACAATCGCAAAAAAAAAAAGATGTACAGAGAAATAAGAGACTACCTGTTTGACAAGATATTTTTTGAGTTTATACCTTATAACTTATAAGCTTATATGACAATAAAAAACTTGTTTGGTAACAATTTTTTTATCACAAACTTATAGCTTATTTTATTAACTTATAGCATATATTTCATACACTATTTTAAATAGCGCTTTAGCTTATAGCTTATAGTTTATCATTTTTTCTTTCACTTTTACTTTTATTATTTTAACTAAAATCCACCACTATCCTTTATAATTTATTATAATTTAAAATAAAATAATTATTATTAAATATCTTTTATGTCATTTTATTTTATCAGTTAAGTAAACCGCTAATTTTACCAAACACTTCAATTAATTATTAACTATAAGTCATCAACCATTAACTATAAGCTATAAGCTATCATTTATAAGAGTTATAAGTTATTAGCTAACTTATCAGTCAACAACTATTTTTACCAAACAGAGCCTATGTGTGTCGAAAATAAAATAGCAATATATGTAGAAAATGACATACAATCGAGATCCAAAATGTAGCAAGACTGTCAAAATAAAGTACAGAGTATAGTACAACAACAAAACAAAAAGAGACTACTACCGTGTGTCTAACAACACCTCCTCTACCTCCTATGTTTGCTCTACCTCCTCGACCATCGATTCCCCCGTCCTCCGGTGATGTCTCCGGGCAACAATGTTCCATGTGCCTCCGCCATGATGGCATCTAGGACTCGCATGACACAAGACCCATCAAAGAATATACATTCGTCAATGCTTGTCTGTGCAATCTCCATTTTGCGACGACACCTAGGCAAGACATTATCAGTATGATCCAGTTGAGTCTGCTCGTCCTATAATATCTCTTGATGAGCTAGTCTTGGCGGATCTCCTGGAGCAACATGCACCATGTACGTATGTGACACACTGAAGAACCATTTGATGTACTCTTCAACATAGCTCCAATCGCTGGGGGCTATAGTAGCCAGTGCCTCCTTTGGTACCAGATGACTCAAAATCATCAAACATCTCCTCTATTTGTCTACGTGTCAAGGCAGGAGGAACAAAGACATCAAGGTGTATGGGGATGATCTGAGTGTACCTGAACTCCCACATGACGTGCTCGGCCAGATGAAAAGCAGTGAGACGCGATTTCCAGGCCAACCATCTAGAGTATAACACTATCTCGTCAAATGATTGTGTCTAACGATAATCAACATAGATGTTGAAATGCTATCCTCAGAACCCAAACAGTTAAGATAAAATTTGAAAGGCTCGACCGCCTGGTTTCCTCTGAGTGGGATAAAAGCAGTATCACATAACATGTCTTTAGTGTACTCAAGCACACTCGCTCAACCAGTGATGTATGAGAAGTGCTGGAGGATCCAAACCTGAAATAAAACAGTTTATAACACGCAAATCATCAATAATGGTTTTGCAAATATGAAATAAAATTGACAAAAATACATTTAAGGATCAAGAATTATTACCACCACTAGTGTCACACTGCCTATGACCTGCTTCGTCTTTCACATACAACTCTCTCTCAACTTCGAATACTGATAGACCAAGCAAGTTATTCGCCAGTTGTACTCATGAATCTGTTGTAGACCCAAGAAGTACCATAGGTAGATAACGTCAATATAAATGACACTCTTGTCCACAAAATTCGAAGTTCCAACCAAAAAAGGAGGTATGCTTTCAATGCATACGTCAAAGGAGGACTGCCACCTACTCACATCACCATGAGCCTACTGTGCCTTCAGGATCTGGTCCTTATAAAGCATACCCATGAACTCAAATCTAGCATGAGCACCCCTTGTACTATCCACATCCTTCATTTCCTTTTTCTGAATATCCCCCAGATACACTACCATCATCTCGACTTCCTCGTCTTTGGTCGTCCTCCCATGATCGAGGAATCTCTCCCTGATTGGAAGATGTAACAAACATAAGACATCGTCTGGTGTGATAGATATCTCACAATGCGGGAGATGAAACAGCGATGTCTCAGAATGTCATCTCTCCACGAATGCATTAAGCATCCGGTGGTTGACCAGAGTGTAACTGGTCATGCATAGGTCCTTCAGGCCAGACAAGGACATAAACAACTGAAACCAATCCTCAATGCAACAATCTTCCTTCCGTGGAAGAAACTTCTGAGGATCACACTCCTTAAATTTGTCAGAAATAATCATTGTCATGAATAATCAATATCAGAAATTATCAATGTCATCACTTAAAATTAATGCATAAAAAATAAAGAATCCAACTAATTATGCCTCTCTGTCCCAGATATATCTGGCGGTATGGTCTGGATCCAAAGGAAGTAAGGACAAATCAAATGGACCTCAACCAAAAGCCTCTGGCTTGGCATCCACAAAAGCCTCATCCTCCGGAGGTGGCACTAGATCAATATCATCATTAGTGGAAGGTGGACCTGGTACAACAACATCATCCGTAGAAGGTGGCACTGGTGAATCCTGACGCTTGCGGGAGGATGGGTGAAGTGACGTGTCAGATGGTGAATCCCAAATCCTACGGGAAGAAGAAGAAAATGGAGTGGCCTGAGGCAAAGCACGAGCCCCAAAAGTAGACGGCGCCCTAGAAGTCGATGACTATGCCTGAACAGAGGTACCTGGAGCCTCTAGAACCTGTTGGCTTCGCTCCTGCTGAATGGATGTGTTCTTAGCAACCCTGCCATATCGCAGTCTGTCAACTCTGTCAACCATTATGCCTGTAAGGTAAAGTAAGACATATTATTAGTCCACACAAACAACATACACAAGCAAGAAAATTATTAAAAAAAAACATACTGAAGAAAATTTCGGAGATGCATCTCCGGAAGCACCATTAAACTAAAACGTTGAAACATTCTAGAGATGCATCTCTGAAAGCACCATTAAACTAAAACGTTGAATAATTCTGGAGATACATCTTCGGAATTTCCTGTAGTGTATGAAACGCTGAAACATTCTGGAGATGCATCTCCAGATTGTTCTGCAACTCATAAGTTGCATCAATGGCAAATGTACCATATGCAAGTTGAAAAAAATATGATTTGATAATGAATTTCAGTCAAAAAATAGGTTATACACTATGTCTAAACTATGTTACATGTGATTTTTACATATTTCTAACCCTTAGTTAGACATTATGCTAGTAGAAACATAATAATGAATTAATTGCATGCTCATACTTGATGGGCGAGACTTCTATTTATAGAGTGGTTGAAATCTAATTTGCTTCAGGAGATTTTTATTCCTACTAAGGCGACCTCGAATATCATTGGTGGATAAGTGTAGGCTAGTCGTCACATCTAACTCCAAGATAGGTGGAAGAGTCTATTTGGTCTAAATGTGATCCATGTATGTTAAAATGACACTAACACCCTAATGCTTATTAACACCTAATTAATAGGTGTGTTAATTCATCAAGATAGCTTTGGGGACCTTAGAACTAGCTCTGAGCTTCACCATTAGGCATATTTTATACTATAAATTGTGTACTTCCTTTTCTTGATATATTTTAAGTTGGACTGCTTAGGTCCATGTTATTACTCAAGCTTATAGACCCTGTAACTACTCTAGTAGGTAACATGTCTAAGATCTACTAAGTGTGAAAATTTTAAATAAAAAAACATGCTTAGAAATATTTAAGTCGAGGTGATCCTTAGATGTGAATGTATTGATGTGGTACTTGTGGCCCCTTAGACTTACA